AATGACTCGAGTAATAGGCCCTGCGAAAGCGAATAAAAGCTGTGAGATGAAAAGTCTAGTCAGAAGACTCAAATGAAATAAAGAAAATGGAAAAAATCTCTTTCTGAAAGCACTGAAATCCAAATTTTGAAATAAACTGAATGTACTAGATCTGAAGTTTGTCCAATGTCTTGCAAAGGTATATACTTTTTTCAAGAAAATAACAACGTAAAAAAAGTTGGCCAAATTTTCTCTAATTGTTGTTTTGTCGCCTTCTTCCAAGTAGATTTTATCTTTCTAATGGAAAAACAGAAGAGAGGCTTCGCCACTGACTCTTGGCCATGATTCAACTCAAACCTCAAAATGCAAAATTGAAAAATAACGGAAAAATTGGGGACTTTAGTAGGGATTGGCATTTTTTGAAGTATGATTACTCCTTGTAAATAAAAAGTAAAACTAACTTTACATGTTCTCGCAAGCCATGCAAATATTCCACTGCCAATCCATCTTTGTCGAATCTTTCGGTAACTAATCCAGGCATCAGAGCATGTTCGCTGACTCTGAATCAGTAAATCTTCTATTACTACATAACCTGATGTTTTGGAAGATCTAAACAAAGTCAGTACAGCTAAATCCCTTTAGAACATCTTTTCCCCTAGAGAAGGTCTATTGATGCACTCGCTGGCTAATCCAGTGCTCCTGCCAATATCATTTAAAATGAGCGAACCTTGTATGCTCAGCATTCCTATAATCTAGAATGAATGAGGCATAGTACAATGCTGCTGCATAGGAGATGAGTCCAAAAACACCAGGCCGGTCCAATATGCGTTGAAGCACACGATGACGTTGCCCAGAAGACGTCACAAGTGATCGCATGATCTTCTACAATCGAACCTTAAACAAATAGGATATAAGAAAAAGGAATTGGGAGTGCCTAAAAGGAATGTACGACGATATAAAAGACGAAAAAAGGGACTTGGCAAGTGCGCGCACCCATTTATTAGCGGGTTATGGCTACGTACAACGGGTTCTCTTTATTTTTTTTTCAAGATCAATCTGCCCTCT